ATCATCATCATCATCATCATCATCATCATCATCATCATCATCATCATCATCATCATCATCCATCATCATCATCATCATCATCATCGCCATCATCATCATCATCATCATCATCATCATCTTCATCATCATCATCATCATCATCATCATCATCATCATCATCAATCATCATCATCATCGCCACCACCACCACCACCATCATCATCACCATCATCATCATCACCATCACCATCATCATCAATCATCATCATCATCATCATCATCATCATCATTATCATCATCATCATTTTCATCATCAGCATCAGCATCAGCAGCATCATCCTCATCGTCATATTCATAATCATTTTCATCATCAGCAGCAGCATCATCATCATCGCCATCATCATCATCAGCAGCATCATCATCATCGCCATCATCATCTGCAGCATCATCATCATCATCATCATCATCATCATCATCATCATCATCATCATCATCATCATCATCATCATCATCATATTCATCCTCCTTCTCCCGACTCCCTCATCCATCCATCCAGCCTCCTACTTCTCCTCCTCCCTCCCTCGCACGGTTCGGCCGCCCCCCCTCTTTGCTCCCGCACTTCCCTGATCACCTCAACTCGCCTGGACATCGTTCCTGGATGGGCTTGTGGAGATACTTTTCTGATCGCGACCGCGGCGAAAAAAGGTCGGACGTCCAGGGAATAGCAAACTAGCAACGGCCTAAATTAGCGCAAAGGAAAAGAAACACGAAAAGAAAAGAACAAGAACGAGCAGGGCTGGTGGGGATACTTCTTTGGTCGCGGGCGGACGCGGAAGCGCAGGCGCCGAGTTGAAAGGTCCGGGCCACGGGCCTACCAAAATAGCAACGCGCGAGCCTAAGAGCAGCTGGTGGGGATACGCGAAGCGTCTAGAATTGGCAGATTGATGCCCTTGCATGCTCCCCGATCTGTGGACCCACGGCGGGGCCGCGGGGGGGGGCGGGGGGGCGCGGCTCTCCAGCGCTGCCAGTGCCGGCCCGGGTAGCGGCGCAGCCACAGGATGCTGGAGCGGAGCCACAGGTACACGGGCCCGCCCTGAGAGGGGGGGAGGCGGCAGCAGCAGTCGGGCGCGCGCTGATGTCCCTCTTCCCTCCTCCTTCGTCCTCCCTCCGCCGTCCTCCTTCTTTCATCCTCCTCCTCCTCCTCCCTCCCTCCTTCGTTCGTCCTCCTTCTCCTCCTCCGCCCCCTCCTTCTCCTCCTCCTCCTCCTCCTGCTCCTCCCTCCTTCGTCCTCCTCCTCCTTCTCCTCCTTCGTCCTCCTCCTCGACTTCCTCTTTCCTCTTCCTTTCTTCGTCCTCCTCCTCCTCCTCCTCCTCCTCCTCCCCCCCTTCCTCCCTCTCTGCCGCCTTTCCCCTCCCTTCCTCCCTCCCTTCCTTCCTCCCTCCCTTCCTCCCTCCCCTCCTTCCCTCCCTCCTTCCTCCCTCCCTCCCTATCCCTCCTTTACTCCCTCCCTCCCTCCATCCTCCCTCCCCGAAGGGACCTCGACCGCCCTAATGCCGTGTCTATGCCAAGTCCACGGATCGGGAATCGTGCCCCCCGAAGCATGGCGCATGTGCCCCCACGGCTCGGAAACCAGTCCCTCCCCCTCCCCCTCCTTCCCTTCCCCGAGTGCGCAAGGCATACTACTATGTTTCGGAGTCGAAGCTGCGTATGCACTTTGGGGTCCCTTTCTCAGGAATCCCGCCTCAGGACCATCAGCAGGGGCCACCTCGCCGAGAAGCGCGCGCGCACCCTCCCTCTCGCCCCCCCCAGGTGAGGACCGTCTTTAGGCCTCACCCGCGAGGACCGTCAATAGGCCTCACACCCCGCGCAGTTTCCATCATAGGGGCTGCGTGGGTACCCCCCACACACCTTCACGTGAAGGCGTCAGTAGCCACCGGAGGGGGCCGAGGACTCCTCTAGGGACCCTCGGCCAACGAAGACGTCCCTAGAGGAGGGTCCAACGTACCTCCACACCTTTACAACTTCTCATGATGGCGTCAAGTTTGCCACCCGCGCTGTTTTCCTCCCTCCCTATCCCTCCCTTACTCCCTCCCTCCCTCTATCATCCCTCCCCGAAGACACTTCGACCGCGCCAATGCCATGCCTGTGCAAAGTCCACGGATCGGGAACCGTGTCCCCCGAAGCATGTCGCCAGTGCCGCCTCATGTGGCAACAGCGCTCCTCCGATCCCCATCTTTGTCTGGACAGGGTGGGCGACCGGATAGAACGTCCAAGATGGCCCAGGATGGCTCCAAAACAGCCCCAGCCAGCCCTAGATGGCCTCCAAGATAGCGCAGGATGGTCCAACATGGCTCAAGATGTCCACCCGCATGCTGTCAAGATGCCCCAAGACCACCTCAAGACGGCGCCAAGCGGCCACGGAACTTCCCAGGAGCCTCCCTGGGTACCCCCGAGAGGCCGAAATCATGGGAACATTGGTGTGTTCAATGCTGTGTGCCTTCTCGCGCATCAAGATGGCTCAAAGGTCGCCACAGAGAGCGCCAAAGGGGATCCTAGACGTGCTCCAAGACGGCCCCAAGAGCGCCGTGGACGTTCCAAGAGAGCTCGAAAAGGTATGTTCCGGGCTCCAGACGGGCGACGCGAATTGACACCGCCTCAATGCACACGTTTGCTTGTTCGAAAAGTGTGGCAGGCTTTGGGCTCAATACGGCTCCCAGAGTACACAAGATGCCTTAAGATGGCCTTCAAGACGGCGCAAGATGTGGAACGCGCGGAGACATACTAATACTATAGGTTCTCCTTGGAGGCGCGCGTCCGACCCGAACATGTAGTACACCCATCTTGTAGTAGATCGTTTCCCAAGCGGTGTAGCCAGAAAGCGCCCACCACGACGCATATACTATAAGATATCTCAGTGCGCGCGTCGCCCCTGGGGGGGCGACGCACTCATAGTAGAAGTATGTTGGGGTGACGCCGAAGATGGTCCAAGTAGGCTCAACAGTGCCCCCAGAATGCTTCCAAGAGGCATGAAGACGGCCACGAGACAGCTCTGCAAGTGACATCGGAGCCTACCACCACTGCTTCCCGAAAGACGCCCAGATACGTCACGCAACACATGCGTTTTCAATGAAGAATGCCTTCTCGACGTTTTGCTTCTGATGGGCTTCCGAGGCATCAAAATCTTCCAAGATCACCCAAGCGAGACCCGAGAGGGGCCCAAAGGCCTCAAGACGGCCCCAGGAGCGCCCTGAGACCACCCCACGAGGGCCCCAGGAGGCATTTGATCGGGCTCCGACAGGGCGAAACTAATTAGTGCCACCACAAGTTTGATCGATGTCATTCAAGATGACCACAAGTGGGCCCCCAAGGCATGGAAGGAGAGCCTGAGGGATCCCCAGAGGCCTTGAAGATGGCCCTGATGGTCCACAATGGCAGCACCCTGGTCGCCGAGAGACTTCCAGGTACAAAAGATCCGCGACGGCCTTATAGTTGACTGCTGGGTTTACCCAGGCTGGTCTGGAGCTTCGGTTTGACGGCTGTCCCCCTCTCTGCCCCACTGCATGCTTACACACTTCCCAGATCAAAGCACCTCGCCTAGGGACCTCTTTCATGAATGGACACGCGAAGCATCAGCATTCTTACCAACGAGTATTGCGGTGGTGGCATGTTATCCTGCGCGAGCAGCTTCCAGCACGACGACGACAGTGGTGAGGTGAAAAGGAGGCGGGGAGAAGGAGCGATGGAGAGAGCGAGGGATAACTATAAAATGAATGTAGATAAAACGTGAAGGGGAGGTGGGAACCATACGATGGTCAGCGAGCTCTGACAGTAAAATATCGTAGATGTACAAGTATGTATGTACATTTGTATGCGTACACATACATGTATGTATATGTGTACACATGAGTGTTTATAAATATACATACGAATATATATATATATATATATATATATATACACGTATTGCTGCAATGTACCCAGCCATGATCATCAAGCACTGCTATTGTGGGCTGCTCCACGCACTCTCTGAAACTGCACATGAAGCACCATTTCATCACTGACGAGCACCACCCCTCCTCCCTCCCCCATCACTCCTCCATCACTCTCTCGCACCCTCGCGCTCTCATCCCCCCTGCTCTCTCATACGTCCGCTATCCTTCTTCGTCTCGCCCACTTCTTCGGCGTACTGCTCCTCCTACTCACTTCCTGGTCTCCGACGACCCTGGGCTGAGAAGCCCGCTCCTGAAGACGCTGTGCAGGCTAGCCTCGTCGTCATCTTCCTCCGCCCCGTCCTCACTTCATCTCGCCCGCGCCTTGTAGGGGGACATCACCGTCGTCTCGCAGCGCCCATACACCTCCCCTCTGATAGCTTCCCGCAGGGGAGAGCCAGCGACGCTGTCCCCAGCGGACCATTATGGTAGCGAAGCGTCACGAGTGGTGACGCCAGAGCCACGTCACGCGTCCTTCACGTCCGTGCCCAGGCAACTTCACAGAGCACCCCAACGGCAAAAATGCAATCTGACGCGACGGCCCAAGGGGAGAGGCAGCGACACCCACCAGCACTGCCTGCCACGGGCACCGCGTGGGGTAGCGTCCGCCGTGCTGCTCGGCAGCAGCACACGACGAGAGCCGGCGCGTGTCCGAGTCGAGCGGAAGCGGCACGCGCACTGTGGACGGGCCGAGAGTGTCGACATCCCTGCCTTCACCAAGGCCGAGAACGCAGAAGATGATGAGAGGGAGGCTACACAGAAGCAAACTGAGGCGGAGGACACTGGAGAGGATCGGGAGATGGAGGAGGGCAAGCAGAAGGCCGAGGCGCAGGAGGAAGAGTAAAGAAGCAGGCTGCAGGCTGGATAGAAGGAGGCAGAGGAACATGCCGAAAAGAAGGCATTCAGCTAGTTCCGTAATCGACGAGTGTCGGGAAGGGGTGCCCGCGGGACTAGCCTCAGGTAGGGAGCTGTAGTCTCCCCCCTGGCCAAGCACGCATGCCTGGGCAGATCCTCTTCGCAGCTTCGCCTGCACGGGCCTGCAGAGCCTACGACAGGGGCCTCATCGTGAGTGCGCACCGGCGTGGGAGGAAGGGGAGACGGCGGGGGGGGAAGCAGAGGGGAAGGAGGAGGGCGGAGGGGATACGGTTGATGGATTAAATCCTGCACCAGCCGCGCAACCAGGGCGACGGCGAAAGCTTCCACCCGCCCCCCTGCCCCGGGTTCAATGTTGATTGGCTGCGCCCGCGGGGTGCAGGAAGGAGGCCCATCGGCACATCGACAGATCGCGCCGCGGCCTGCCAATATGGAGTTGGGGGCGCGGGGGGCGAAAACAAAAGCCTAAAAAGAAGGTGCTGGATTTTGTCCATCCACCGTAGGTGCGGGGCGGGAAAATGACCACAGCCACTGCTTCTTGTTTGCGCCGCCTTCCAGCCGGCCGGAAAAGAAGCAGTGGCCGTGGTCACTTCCCTGGTGCCCAAGCTCAACGGAAATGACCACAGCCACTGCTTGGCTGCTGCGGGCTGGAAGGCGGCATCAAAAGAAAAGCAGTGGCTGTGGCCGGCTTCACGCCCCGTAGTCGGGCGGCCAGACATCGCGCCGTGCCCCGCCGGCCCCACGGCAACGCAGACATCGCGCCGTGCCCCGCCGGCCAGACATCGCGACGTGGCAACGCAAACATCGCGCCGTGCCCCGCCGGCCGCGCAGACCCGACGGCGGGCGGCCTGCGGCGACCCCTCGCACGGGGCAGGCGCCGAGGGGCCGGCGTGCGGCCCCGAAGCCCGCGCGGTCCGTGAGCGGCGGCGCCACGGCGCGGTAGCGAAACGCGCGCCCACCTCCTCCTCCGCCTCCTCCTCCTCCTCCTCCTCCTCCTCCTCCTCCTCCTCCTCTCCTCCTCCTCCTCCTCCTCCTCCTCCTCCTCCTCCTCCTCCTCCTCCTCCTCCTCCTCCTCCTCCTCCTCCTCCTCCTCCTGAATCAGGTCTGGCCCTGAATGTTTCGCTCTGAATTCCTGTACTGAGCGAGGCGAGCGCACAGACGGCGCGGTCATGGCACCTCGAAGGCCCCTACCAACAGGGCGTACGATACGGTACCGCAGCGTCCTGCGCTCGACCACTCGTGCCGACGTGCACCAAATGCGCGTGCACCACGCAACCAGCCCTCTCACCCTGCACTGGCCAGAGAGGCCATCACTGCAAGCGGAGGTTTTCGACGACGAGGAAAGGGGGGAGAGAGACAAGAAGCAGGAGCAGCAGCAGCAGCAGCATGAAGAGAAGGAGTGAGGAGAAAAACGGTGTGAGGAGGATGGTGAAAAAGGAGCTGGAGGAGAATGTGGAGGAGGGCGGCGTGAAGAAGGACGAGAAGGAGTACCATCAGGCTGATGAGGAGGCGTCCGAAGAAGAGGGCTCGGGGCAGGGAAAGGAGGAGCAAAAGCAGCAGGAACGGGAATGGTAAGAGGATAAGCAGGAGAAGCGTAAGGAGCAGGAGGAGCAGGAGTGGAACTGCCAGGGAGGCTGATGAGGAGGGCAGGAAGGAGACCAAGGAGAAGGAAGCGGATGAAGAGTTGGAAAAGGGTGAGGCCGAGGAGAAGGATACGTAAAAAACATCAGAAGGCTGAGGACCAGGACAAAAAGGGTAACAATGAGGGGCCATGAGGAGGAGACTGAGGAGCAACAAGGGAAGAAGCAGCAGGAGAGGCCGAGACAGTAAGACACGACGGAGAGAAAGCAGCGAGGTCGCAGACGAAGCAGCAGCAGCAGCAGCAGCAGCAGCAGCAGCAGCAGCATCAGCAGCAGCAGCAGCAGCATGAATACGAGGAAGGAAAAAATGGGAGGAGGCTGCGGAGGAGCAGCTGTAGGAAACTCAAACGAGGTGGCGGCTGGTGTAGCCGAAGCTGAACAGGAGGAGCAGAGGCATCAGGATAGCTAATGAGGGGGTGGAAGAGTGAGGATGAATGAAAATGGGGATTGTGAGGAGAAAGCTAAAGCTGAGGAACAGAAGCGATGACGGGGGAAGGCGAGAAAACAGGATGCGAGGGAGGGAGGAGGGAAATGGAAACTCAACCGCCCTACTTCGCATAGGCCTGCTGGCGAATGTTTCCCCCAGTCAATTGCACCCGGTTTGCTCCAACCATTCTGATTGACCTGGTCTGCTTCGCCCAGTCTGCTCACCCAGTATGTTCCACCTGGCCTGTTTCACCTGGTCGTCCAAGGCACATCACCTCTTCGTGCGTCTCTCCATTCGGGGGGGCGTGAAAAGTGGGTCAGAGGAAAATCGATCTAAACGGCCTGTGGAGAGGGAAAAAAAGGAAGGCGAGCATCCAGCTGGATCAACTCCCTAACCCCACCCTGGGACCCCCCCCCCCCCTACAAGCCGCCGTCGCCGATCCAAGCGTTCCCCAAAAGCGCCCTTTTAGGCGTTTTCGCTGGCGCATCTTCGAGCGTTGTTCCTGGGTCCTGGGCGCAGTTCCAAACGCCTTCTGGGGCGTCTCCCGAAACACTTCCACACCTGCTTCGTCCATCCTCGACACCCTGCCTGT